TTCCCTATATTTTATATTTTATATATTTTTTGTTTCATGTTTCAGGAAAGGCGTGATAGGAGGTATAGAAGCTACATGATGTCAAGATTTGCATGATGGAATGAATCTACTCTGGCCTCACCAATGCTCTGCCCCAGACGCTTTGTTGTAAAGAAAACTTGGTGAAGAAACAAAAACACTAGAATTTAATATAATCATGGAAAAATTTGAAGGGCTAACATTTTAATTCATTAAAGAATTCTGAAAAAAAAAAAAGAATTCTGTAAGTCACTTTTTTTATTCTTTTAGTAGAAAATAATTATTAGACTATAACCCTATAATCCCCCAGAGCTGAAAAAATAGGTATTTATTTCTGTATCCCTAGGACGTGGCATAGTGCCTGTAACTTAGTAAGTGCTCAAAAACTGTTTGTTGACTGATATGCAGTTACAGTACACTATTTGATTAATACCTGATCAAGTCTAAACAGGAACAATAAAACTGAACAGATGATTTTCTTAAATTTCATTTGTAGTATACTATAATAGCTAAAATACATCGAGGACTTACTATATGCCAGGCACTGCAACATCTTAACCACGCTTTTGGGTGCTAAGTAATATTACCTCCACGTTAAAGCCCAGAGAGGTTACATAATTAGACAAGGGCACACAGCTAATAAGTGGGCAAAACCAGGATTCTTACTCTGAAACCCAGATCCCACCACAGGAAAATATTCATCACATATGCTTAGGTGAAAAAACAAGTTATAAGACAGGATCATTCTATATTTTAAAGTAAATAATATGTACTTTGCATACTATTTGAAAAATAATTTTTCAAATAAAAATTATTTTCAGAAAATTGTCTGAAAAGATAGGAAATGGTAGCAGATAGGATTAAATGAGATAATGCACTTAAGGCACTCAACCTGGGACATGGAAAGCAGTCAATACACTATGACTCTTCACATTATCCTGAGAACTTGACAGTTCCATCGATGCATCCTGACCACCACCACCACCACAGCAATGATATAAAACATGGTAATGGGTTCTTAGACCAGATCACAAAAGAAAGAAAGAAAAAAATAATGACTAGGATTAAAATAAAGACTAGTATTTCTCTGTGGGAAGGAAATAGCAAATTCAGAATTGTCGTTATCTCTAGCAGGGAAAATGGGCAATAGGTCCAGGGA